CGGTTTACAGATTTTTAGCAAATTGAGTCAGCAAATTGCCCCCACAGTCTGGGTCCTCATTTCACCCACCTCGGAAGGATGGAAGGCTGAGTCAAACCTTGAACCGGTGAGATTTGAACCGCTGAACTGGAGATAACAGTCAGCTGAAGTGGCCTGCAGTACTGCACCCTAACCACTTCACCACCTCGGCTCTTTAAGTGGAAAGGAAGCAAATAGATGCTTCTCAGCCCCTAATGTCAGAATAGAGGTAAGAAATGCTTTCCAAGGCTGAGTCATTCCTGCCTTTAACCTTTTCCACTCAGAACAGTAATGTATAGGTTAGGCCTCGTAGCTTATTCGGTATAAGTGTTGAATTTTCCTCCCCATCAGTTGGTTGTGGACAGGTTGGGTTAGTAGGGAGAATTTGGGTTACCCAGCAAATAAATAAGGCACCAAAGGGTGAAGGACTTGAGACCCAATCTATTTAATATTGCCATATAGTTAGTGAAAATGGAAGTTGAATATGATTTTATTCTTTATAGCAATAGCACTTAGATTTACAGTATATACTGCTTGATAGTGCTTTACAGCACTGTAAAGAAGTGTGGTAGCGCAGTGGTCAGTACTGCAGGCTATCTCTGCTGACTGCTAGCTGCTAGCAGCTTGGCAGTTTGATTCTGAGTGTCTCAAAGTTGACTCAGCCTTCCTTCCTTCCGAGGTGGGTAGAATGAGGACCCAGATTGTTGGGGACAATATGTTGACTCTTTAAAGCACTTACAGAGGCTGTAAAGCACTATGGAGCAGTATATAGGTCTAAGTGCTATTGCTATTTATAGTATCAGCATATTGTCCCCAACAATCTGGGTCCTCGTTTTACTGACCTTGAAAGGATGGAAGGCTGAGTCAACCCTGCGCCACTCAGGATTGAACTCCTGGCAGTGGGCAGAGTCAGCCTGCAATACTATATTCTAACCACTGCATCACCACAGCTCTTTATATTAAAGTTTTGTTTATATTAGTATTGTAGTAAATTGACAAAATCTCAGAACAATAAACCACTAATATAGAATTTAAAATACAGAAGTACCAACAAAACATATCTAGAAAATTTAAAATACTGGAAAAAACAAAAGCCTGAAACAATTAACAGCCCGAGCTTCTTTCTATCTGGGTTGCTTTATTGGACATGTTATTCTGTCCTAACAATTAATACAATAGAAATGTAAGTTTTCAAATTATATTAATTTTGAAAAAAGTTAACATTCGCTAACATTTTTGTCTCTTTCCTAGGTGGAACATTGCTCACCATTTCTGAAATAGGTTTTAGCAACAGCCCAGCCTTGGTCTTGGTCCTGATTGATTTCCAACCCTGTGCTATAATCCGCCTAACTGAAGATAAAATTCTATGTTGGACCCCACCACCCACTCAGCCATCTGATACCATTCTCAAAACTCTTCTGGCAGATATAGAAGTGTACATAGGCAACTAGTCATTGGTAGAGCCATTCCAAATGAAAATCTTTAAAAATTACACTTTTCTTTATAACTTGTCTTTGACTCCAAATATCATAAACATTGAAACAGAATTATTGAACAATAGTCTGCACCTAGGCGTAGAAGGAGTCAGTATAACAAATTCAGTAGCTATCCTGGAACACGTGGAATGTCCCCTTGAAGTACAGTAGATCAACCACTCTATATCTTGGTCTCAGTGTTCCTTGCCTCTAAACATTCTAAAATCAGGGCACTATGTTATGAGAGTTCTCCAGAAGCAAATGGGCTTTGCCAACATACCAGCTGAGATGCAGCATTTTACAATATACCCATAGATAAAGACTATCTTTCCATCTCGTGGCTCAGTGTGTGGTGGGCAGTTGCTCACAATATCTGGCCATTCTCTCAAATCTTGGACAAATTCTGCTTGGGTAAATCTGACAGGCAACTTGTCTTGTGATGTCCAAAGCTCGAGTGAACAGAGCATAATATGTGCACTTTTCTCAAGCAATCCCCTTTTGGATGATCAGCAATTTCCTGATGTACACCAAGCTCTTAGTATGACAGTAAATGTCAATGGAATGTATAGCCGTTGCCTAGGAGACTGCTCATTCAATCGTTTTGCAAACAAGACTCTTGTTATTGATGCTGTCACTGTGAGGTTTGCTGGGATATTAATTTACTTGTTAATCAGAATTCAAAAATTAGTTTGGGCAGTGGATGAAATGCTTATAGAGGTGAATGGACATCTCCCTTGCAATATAACTTCCTTGAACAAAACCAGCATTGAATGTCAGATGCACAGCCTTGACGCAAAAGAACATAGCATTTTGGTATTGAGCAGAAGCTGGGCTTCAGTCTGCCTGAGACAGAAAGACTCCAATATCTTCAGAGTTACTCCTGTGGTGCTCCATTTTTATCCCCAGAATTTCAGTCTCAATGGCGGAAGCCTCCTGACCTTAGAAGGTGCAGCACTTCAAGGCAGGAGCAGCACCTCAATTCTTGTAGGAAATCAGAGGTGTCTCCTCACCAAAGTCACCTATTGGGCCCTTAAGTGCCTTGTGCCTTCAGGCCAAGGGACTGCAATCGTGGGGCTCAACATAGACACTATGTCATATCCTGCTGGGGAAATAAGCTACAGTGAAGAATTCACCCCAGTTTTCCTCTCCCTTCTGCCTTCCACAGGCCAGTTCCTCACAATAATGATTTCAAAAGTTAGGCAAATGGAAGACATGTACGTTTTCATTGGAAGTTCTTCCTGCATCAATGTTACTAGCAAAAGTACCAGTTTGCAATGTGTGCTTCCTCAGCTTCCTACTGGAGAATATAATGTGACAGGTGGAATTGTGCAGAGAGGTTGGCCCCCCTCCACTTTGGTATTCACTTCGGTCCTGACAGTTATCACAGTGAAAAACAGTCATGGTAAGTATGTGGTTGCTTCTGGGGAATGGAAGTCTGTCATCTCAATGAATTGATGTGAGAAGCAGACCTGAGAGTTATAGCAGCAAACTTAGAATTTCAGAATGAGATTTGGTTGGAGTCTTGTTGTTTTTGTGAAATAACTTGCTGTTTCTTGTAGATTATAATTTTTCCTCAATGTGATAAACATATGGTTTTCCTTGCAAGTCATAGATCATGTTTATGTTTTCTGTTCTCCTGCAACAAAATGTAAGAAACTTTTTTTGTTTGATGTTCAGAAAATACTTGTGATATCACATTTCTTACAGCAGAAATGCTTCACCCTCTGAGCTAAAAAATCCCATTATTAGCTTTGAAGGAAAGTCCAAGTATCATAGCTGACTTTCACCACCTTATGTTGACTTTCCTTAGTCATTCTACATTTGGAGACATGCTTCATGAAAGTAGATGGCCAGCAAAACCACGTGTTAAGTGTCAATTGAAGGATATTACGAATTGTTAATACATCACATTAAAAGAGATACATCATAGAAAGCAATAGCTCTGCAGATGATAACAGTGGGATTCTAATAGGTTATTAATAATCAGCTTGTATACTGCAGTTTAAATTTGTTGTTATCTGCCTTAGAGTTTATCTGTTGTGTTGTTTGGAGTGATAAACCGGGGTGGGCAATCAGAGATTGTCCTTCAGTATGAACTTAGGGATGCAGTGGCTCAGTGGCTAAGATGGTAAGCTTGTTGATCAGAAGATCGGCAGTTCAGCGGTTTGAATCCCTAGTGCCACGTGATGGAGTAAGCTCCCATTACTTCTCCCAGCTTCTGCCAACCTAGCAGTTCAAAAGCACGTACAAAATGTAAGTAGAAAAATAGGGACTATTTTGATGGGAAGGTAAAAGTGCTCCGTGCTCCTTTGGCATTTAGTCATGCCGGCCACATGACCAAGGAGACATCTTTGGACAGTGCTGGCCCTTCGGCTTAGAAACGGAGATGGGCACCGTCCCTAGAGCTGGAAATGACTAGCACGCATGTGTGGGGGTACCTTTACCTTTATGAACTTGAAAGAAAATGGCATATCCATGAAAAATGTTACAGGGGTTAACTAAGTAAAAACTGATCTTGATTCCTATCATATCACATGCATATCTATTGATTGTTAGGTCTGTTTCATCCTCTTTCTGTGCAATTTGTTTCTTGGAAAGAAAACCCTAACATGCAAATGTTTTTAATAATTTTAACAGTGTTCATAGTTTTTTTTAAGTGCATGAGGAAGTTACAATTTCTCTCCTCTCCTCTCTGTTGGAGAATCTAGAAAATGTGACATCTGGCACACTAGGGGAAAAATGCCGTAGAATTAGCCATGCATTTTGACTTGTTAGTCTTTCCTATTCTGTCACTATTATGATAAGGCAACTACCTACCTTTCTAAAGCAACTATAATCTCCCTTTATAAATATCTTCTTCCCAAAAAGTTAAAATCAGCAGCCAAAGTTGTAAAATTGTATATCAATATATTTATTGTATATCAATATGTTTCTTTAGCATTATATGTAAAGTTGCTTTGTTATTTTTTTGTAGACAAGTCAAAGTAATAAGGTACATACTCTGATTATTCTGTTGAGAGAAACAAGCCAGAGTAACTGATTCTCTGATACAATACTAAAGAAACCAGGGAGACCTCCATTGGCTAGATGAGCCAAGAGAGAGACATTAGGCATAATCAATTAGCTGACAATTTGTTCCTAAAAAGAAGGGGAGAGAGTATTTCAAGTGCAAGTAAAGAAACAATTTAATGTACAGAAGATTGCTGTCTTTCAGAAACTTATTTGATAAAGGGTGCTAGAAAACCAGTTTGTCCATGTAAAAACATCCATATCTAAAATTAGATAAGGTAAGGTCAACATTCAGCACAATTTGTTTTTAATAATAAACAAACATTTTATTAAGTTTACTTATTTTATCTCTAAAATACTGAAATAATAAACATGTCAAATAACCTGGAGTGAATAACAAGAACAACCTTTTGCACCAATGGAAAATATCCACTTTCAGGGAAGAAATGGTAAGCTAGTGTACATTTAAGTTTTCAAAACATTTCCTTTGCCTGTGCTTGCTTATCAGCAAAGTGAACAAGTAAAACAAGTGAACTCACAAATTATATATATTATATTATATTATATTATATTATATTATATTGTATTGTATTGTATTGTATTGTATTGTATTGTATTGTATTGTATTGTATTGTATTGTATTGTATTGTA